ACACTCGCCTCGTAAGTCTGTTGAGCTGATCCTGATCCTCCTTCCGGGACGGGAAGGCCTGTCGTATCACCGTCAGTCCCCGGAGTGCCGCGTCTCTCACGGTGGACAGCGAATTCTGTAACGCGCCGATCAACGAGTCTATGTCCTCGCTGGTGGCGATCGCCGCGCCCGGTTGACCGCTGCCAGACTGCGCGACGTCCAGCAAGGTCGCTACCGCGTGAGATTGCACGCGACTCGTGGTGGTCTCCATAAGCTCGATGAGCAAGTCGAACATTTGCTTGCGCGGCAGGAGTCTGGGATGCCTGAGATCCTTCAAATCGGTGGTGCTGCCTCGCTGCTTGGCGTGTTCCTGAATCAACTGCAGCCCCTGTACAATCATGCCCTCGTCCTTGTACGACGTCAGAGTCTTCCTTACGAAAGGAAAAACGTAACAGAAAGCGGGTGCCGTGAACAGTTCCTTCCTCTTTATCGTCACCGTATGTATAAGATTCAGCGTTCTTTTAACCGCCACATCTAGATTCTCCTCCTCCCAAGCTTGGTCCAGATCGCACTGCGGCTGCAGCAGCCGCAGCGTAACGTGAGCAATAAGGTCGCCTAGAATCGCGCTGTTGTCTATCGTCACCGTTTGGCGAAGAGACACGTAAAGCTCCGACATCTCGGGCGCTGCCAGCGGAGAGCCCAGATTCTTCAAAATGGGCGGTAGAAGGTCCTTTAAGTACAATGACAGCTCCTGCCGATTGCCGCGTATCGAGCACGCCACCAAAGACACGGTGTTGTCAATCTTGGCTTTCAACTCGGTCAATCTCTTGCGAATGCCGTTCTCCTTCGCGATCTGCGCCTTCACGGTCTCCTCCTGCTTAGGCGTCAGCTTCGGCTCCTTTATCTTGCCCTCTCTCTTTCGCTTCTCGTACAACTCGCGCCGCAGCTGAAGCTCCTCCTGCTGCTCCTTGAACGAGTAGACCTTACTTTCTCTCTTCATGTTCATAGAACTGAGGATATCGTTCTCGTCGTTAACGGGCAGCACGCTCTTGTCGTAGAGCTCCCCCTCGGGAATGAGATACGTGAAATACTCGTCCTTGGTAACTCGCAAGATCTCCGGATCGTCGAGCTTGCTCGTGACGTTCGACACCAGAGCGGGTAGAAAAGCGTCCGGTGCGAGCGAGACGATTTTTATGAGCGCATTTTCGTAGTTCGGCGCCGGTTTATAGTTCTGGATCAACATCTTCCTCACCTCGTTGCTGTAGCTGCGTAAGAAATCCTTCGGTACGAGATTGTAGTTCTTGGCGATCTTGAACCACAAGTTCGGTATGGCTTTGAGTAGCGCCGGATGGTGAGATGGAAGCAGAGCGTCTCTGGTCATCTGATAGGTGTGCGCTTCGAATAAGAAGGAACCCGAGCATATGGCGGACAATCCATCGGCGAGACACCTGCCGGTAATCTCGCCCATTGAGGTTTCCTCTTTATTCTCCTTATCCGATTCCGATTTAATCTTGATGTTTTCCAAAAATTTATTAAACTCCGCCAGCAGTGCCTGCGCCGGCGTGTACGTGCCCAAACCGGTCATAATTTTCTTAACCAGCGGAAAGCATCGTTGCCGTGTCGTGGAATTTGGGGCAGTGGCGCAAGACACGATCGCTCGATGAATCCCAGTTAGAGCCTTCTCGTTCAGTTTGTCGGAGAATTCGGTGATAAGACGTTCGCAGAGTAGCATAAGATGGTACAGGATATCGTCGCTGCACGTCGACAGGAATTTCTCGGAAAAGAATATCTGCTCGTCTATCGCGTTCCACAGCACGCTCTGCTTGTCGTTCTCCACTTGGTCGGCGAGCACGAATTTGAGCAGCAAATACGAAGCGACCAGGCCCTCGGTCACCGCCGCCGGCTGCGCGCATTGCTGCGTAGCTCTGGTTATCGCCTGCGCGAGGATCGGCGCTATCACGCCCGAGTACGTGGCGGCGGGGATCGAGAAGAACAGCTTGATGTAGGCGGTGCGCACCGCGGCGGTGGACGTTTTCGCCGCCATGCCCTTCTTGAAGGAGTCCACGACGATTTTTGGTACGCTAGACGAGAACTTCTTGGACCACAGCGCCATCATTTCAAGGGCGTGTATCAGCGTCTTCTCGTGCACCTCGGTCTCGAGCACCTTGACAAAATGCTCGCAGGCCGTCTCGGCCAATTTCTGCACGCTGCTGCCCGAGGCCACGTTGTAGCTGAGATTCCCGGCGCCTTGCAACACGGAGATCTTATGCGTCACGACCGTAAGTTTGCCCTCCGATCCGTGAAACACCGCGAATATGGACGACAGTAGGGTTTCCAGGGCCGTCGTGTCGGAACATTGGAGCGCGAGTTTGCGGCACGCCTCGACCGCTTCGTCCCGTACCAAATCCTCCTTGGAATGCAGATTGGCGAACAATCCTTTGCTTATCTCCTGGCTATATTGGCTCAGGTCAAGGCTCAACCCGTTTAAGATGTGACCGACCGATTCGATTATAATCTCTGGGTTTCGCAACATAGCTTTTTGCAAAGCGGGAAGTAATTGGGTTTTGAATTCCTCGTGAGTCAATCTCCGAAGAAGTGGCACAGCTGCATCGACTACGTACAAATCTGGTTTCTTCTTACAGCTAATCGTCACTTTTATAAAAACGTCTATCATGTTTGTCTGAAATTTATAATACACATGTACGCGTGTATATTATATTTAGAAATTATGCGTGTACCTTTGTCCTCACTTACCTTCAACTGTTCCACTAAATCATTCCTTTTCGTGGTAACTAAATATCTTGTAAGTAAACTGGCTAGAATAATTACGCCGTTACCGAGCTCCAATTTTGTTAAATGTCCGACATAAGTTTCTATGTCTGCGATGGCCACCCATTCGTGCGCGAGTAATGTGTACACCTTGTTGGCAAGTTTCTTATCTGCGGACGCTAAAGCCGCAGCAGATAAATTTGCCTGCGCCTCGATCAGCTTTGCTAAAGACTCATCCATTTGTGTTATACGACGTTTGTTATATCCATGAAAAATAAGTAAAGTCGACCACTTCAATGCAATATACGCGGTTCGAGCAGTGTTCAAGCTACAAAAAAAAAGGCGCGTTGTTAGAAAAAATTTATTATAAGTAAATAAATAATTGATAGTGGAATTTATTCCCGATTCGACTTACGTTGGAACCACATTCTTATGCCAGGTAGCTTGCTCCGAAACTACAGTTGTCATATGTTTGATAGTAGCCTCTGGTTGTTGTTTAATTAGCTCCACAATTATGTTTCTCACGTAGGACTGAGAAGCACTATCTTTGTATCTATGTAAGGTAAGTGATACCACCTTACAGATTCCATTAACAATTTTGTCATTAATGCCTGTAATAAATAAATTTGTAAATTCGCGCGATAGAAAGTATTTTCAGATAAAGGTGTTTTATGAAAATCTTTTGACCTAAAGTCAATCGGATCGTATATACAGAACATTTTATTAGTTATTTTTTTGTAAGTCCCACTTTAGGGGACTAATAAGAATATATACATTGAATATATATATTTTTATTAGTCCCCTTAGAAAATATATATATATATATATATATATATATATGTATATATATTAAATCAATGTATTTCTAAAGTGGAAATTTCATTTATAAAATATTCTTATATACCTATGACGAGAAAATAAAATTTTATAGCTGGCATAATCAAGTTAAATCACATAGAAAACTATATAACAAATTACAACAAATCAATTGATTCAAATATATTAAACACATTTTTTTAAATATTTGTTACATATATTACGTAACAATTTTCACAGAATATGTCAATATATCTTTGACAATGCCCAATGGAAGTATTTCAAAATCCCACTAGCCCAAGTCGAACTGGAGCGCATGGAAACCAATAGTTACAATAAATTACTTGATAAAAATATATTAAATATATTTTTTTAAATATCTGTCACGTGTTACGTAATCTTCACAAAAATATGTCAAGATATCTTTAGATAACGCTCAACGGAAATGCTCAGAAACCTTGCTGGAGTTGTCGAACTTCCTCTTATCGTGTACGATATAATTCATGTGTTACGACAATCTCTCGGCTCAAGTTTCAATCAAAACAGCTCGGAAGACAAAAAGAGAGAGAGACTCGATAAAGTAATTACAAGGCGATATTGTAAATAAACTACTCCGGACTGTTCCAAACGAGTTGCGTGATAAGTTTTGCAGGAAGCGACGCACGAATCGCGGTGCGACGTACATCGACGGTGGTGCCCGAAAACCGGTCTGCCGACCTTATTTTCGTAACGCCACCGTACGTAAGAGCGTACGGCTCTTATCACTCATCAAAAAGTAATACCGTGTCCTCCCCCAGCGATCCTTACCGGGATTTGACAATACGCTGGCGACATTTTGCAGAATCTCACGCCGCTCCCTCTTGCTGGCCGTCTGAACTCGATTTGGTAGATCCTTCAAGGCTTTTGCTAGCTACAACAAAACGCATCGATTATAATAAAGCAGCGGCATCCGGGTGGTGCAAGAATTTTCTCGTATTCCACGTGACTCGCTCACCTCGACATCCGCCATATTTCTTCAAAAGCCGGACTGCTCATAAAGCGCCGCTCTTCAGTCTCTTCACGGACACGTAGTTGGCGCCAGTTGGCGCGACAGGGCGCGAGGGTGACCAGAGAGACTGATATCGGAATTAAGTCCACAGCGATAGACGGCCGTTCTTTTGTTGACTTTAATCTTGGTTTAACTTATTTTGTATCTTTTTTCTACTTCTAAGAATTAGAAAAAGATTTAAAAACAAGTAAATAAAACCGAGATCAATTAAGTTAATCTACATTGGTTAGAAATGGACATAAGGGCGAATTCACACCTTGACGGAAAAGCAGTAAACAGAAAGGCAGAAAGCCAATCAGAGCTCGCGCTGGTAGCGAGAAAAACAGAAAGCCGGCCATGATACTCCTGTGTCGGCGTTGCGAGCGCCATGTGGAACGCAGCCGAAGTATTCACTCTAAACTAAGCATGACAGTCGATGGAAAAGCAGTGCAACAAAGAGCCATTTTTGAGCATATTCCTCTCTTTCTCTTCCAATTTCGATTACACGCACTTATCTAATAAATTTATTTTGAAATCTTGCGAAATCGTCAGAATTGTTACATACACGACTAAGAAAAGACGTGCACGCTCGTCGAGTAAAAGAAATGCGGCGATGCCTTCGTGAAAAAATGTACTTTTTAAAAACAAACTTTTTTTTTATCATGCGGAAATGATATCTCGAGCCTAAAAAATTTCGCACAAAGTACAACCCAATTTTTGTGGTGCGCTCGTAATTTGTTGCTCGCCGCAAAATGCAATGTAAAATCAACGACCTGCCCGACGAATTGCTGGAGTATATCCTAAGCCTGATACCACCTTACAAAGATCTCCAGGAGTGTAGGCTTGTCTGTAAAAGATGGTACCGCGCTACCAAAAGTACTCGCATTTCTTTTATACATTTATTTTTTTTGCACGCTTATTATTTGTATGTCAGACAGGTGAAAACGCTACTCAAATACGCCGGCAGAATAAATTCGATGTATTGATATATTTGACACTTTTTCATTGTATGTCAGACATATAAATAGTAATAAATACGTTATATACGTTATATATCCTGATGTAGAATAAATTTGATATACTGATATATGTTTATATGTACCGTTAACTAGATGTGGTAGAACACAATGAAGCACATTTTCAAAAGTCTGTCGCTTTTGGATCTTTGCTGTGGGATTCGTTGCCGTCTATGCACTGGATATCTACCATTGGGAAGAGACACTCGCATTCTGCTTGCATATATGACAATTCCATGTACGTCTTCGGTGGCTGTACAGCTACATGGACAACGTTCAATGATCTGTGGCAATTAGATTTAAGCACGAGAACATGGGCCAGACCAATCACCATGGGCAACTATCCGTCGCCCAAAGCTTGCGCCACTATGCTTTATTATAAGGACAGTTTAATTTTATTTGGAGGTTGGTCTCATCCGTCGCCATATCCATTACATCAGGTAACTGTTCGAATAAGATGACCACAGAAGTTTCAGTTGATACACACATATTTATATTGGACTTTTATAAAAATGCATTCTTGAATTAGATTTATATAATTTATATAATCAAATCACGAAAGATAGTCAAACTGTAATGTTACTGTTTAGAAAGTTTTGTTTATTTGTTTACAGTTTGCATTACTCATTTTAGACAATTGATCTAAAATAGATTACTTATTCCACAACAATTTAAAAGCTACATACATTGAAATATATTAACATAGATAATATATTTTCAGCAATGGAAATTGTTTAATGAATTACATGTATACTCTATAAAATCAAACAAGTGGACCGCTATAAATACATTAGAAACTCCACCACCAACATCCGCACATTCTGCAACAATACATAAGAACTTAATGGTCGTTTTTGGCGGAGTTTGTAATGGCTACAGGTATGCTATCTTGTAAAATTACATGTGTACATACAAAAGCAAAATACACATGTATATATTTATGCGTAATATTACTCGTATTATTTGATAGCTCCAATGATGTATGGTGCTTAAATTTGGATTCGTATACCTGGCACAAACAAAGTACATCGGTTTTGAACCCAGAGCCACGTTACGGCCAGTCGCAAATTAAACTTGGGGAGAAGCATTTACTTGTGCTTGGTAAGAGAAGCATCTACTTGTGCTTGATATTTTCAATCGCTCTTAAAATAGCTTTTCGATATTGAAATAAGTGTTTTGATTAATTTGATTTATATAAGAAACAAATATTGAAAATTTTCCTTTATTAATGTCAAAACGATTAAACGTACAAGTGGATGATTACATATTTGAAAATATACAGGAGGTTGCACAGGACCTAATGCCGCTATGAATGACGCTTGGTTGTTAACGATGGAGGGTGTGTCTTGGACGTGGAAGAAAGTCAATATGCACAATACAGAATGGGCACCAACGCGTATCTGGTGTCATCAGGCCTGTAAGGTATCTAATTTTTTTTTTTCTAAAGTAATCTAATTCGATTGCATTGAAATGCAGTTTCGTTGACTACAGCTGGCCCGTATATTGCTAGGAATAAATATAATACTGTTATTTTCACAGGTGGGAAATTATATTATTGTACTTAGCAAAAATAGACGTCAAACCAAGTCAAATGATATGAGTATCTCGTTGAAAAAAGTTCAAAGGAGTACCTCACCACGTTTATGCGAGTCGAATCCTTTGCCCGAAAGGTCTGATGCAATTACAATGAATTTATAATATAGCGGTACTATAAAGAGTTACGATTGACAATTATAATAACTTTGCTATTTTTATTAATTAATTAAACTTTTTTTTTTAGGCAAGGAAATGTAACTGCCGTAGATAAGGATGAAAATATAAATGGACGGCATGGAGCGTTCTCCAGGTCACACAATTCGCAAAACGCACACGCTTCGTCCCACGCATCCAGTATCCCGAAAACGATACCGTTTTACAGCGACAACACTCTGAGCATGGCCGCGTTTCGCGATCAACCTCTGCGTAGTAACGCAGTCACGAATAGACAACGTCAATTGGAATCGCTAAGAAGGATGGAGGAGAAAATTCGTAATAAGAAGGCGCAGCAGACGAAAGTGTCCAAAAAAGCTGAAAACACACTGTCGATATTCGTATTGGATATTACTAATGTTCTTTCGGACGACTGCAACGCTTTGTGGATTCCCCTAAAGCAAAACGATCATTCGGGGCCCGACGAGAGAATTCTGTATTCTCTTGTAGTGGGAAGGGGAGAACTGATAGTTTTTGGGGGTATTCGTAGAGACGATTCTGTAGTATATAATGATCTCCATTTTATAAATCCACCTCGATATGTTATTTAATATTGAAAGGCAATTAAAAATAGTCTCATATTATTTTATGTTATTACTGCAATTTTTTTTCAAAGATTTTATTTTCATTCTAATCATAATTGTAATATATATGTATAAAATTAACACTAAAACCGTGGCCATGCCATTTTTGACTCATCTAATAGTTCTTTTTTTTCCAGTTAATTTGAATTTGCACCTGGAACTTTAGATTTTTTGTGACTTCGTAAATAATGATCATAATTACAAATAATTTTCTTTTATGGTAACAATCCTTCCTCTTGGTAAATATCCAGATTTATGTTGCGTTTGGGTCAATTTAGACCCAATTGTTGATAACAATGTGTTAAGATGACTGTAAACCGAATTAGTATTAATGAGAGTGTATTATTTAGTTACCATTTTGTCTACCTAGCCAAAAATCGTAAAAGACTAACATGAGTCATAAGTAACCCATTCATGGTTCTAGGGGAGGCTCAAATCGCCGTGGTTGTAGTGTTAAATGTTGCAAAAGTGATAAAAAAACGTGTTGATTATTTATATTAAATCAATATTTATACAATAATTTATCTTTAAACTCGAAATATATTTAAAAAAAAATGAGAGACTCAATTGATGTACAAAAAATACAGTAAAAATAAATAATAGAATAAGAATGGGAAACAATAGAACTAAATGATTGTTACAAGTCTTAATTTATTGTATAGAGTTTACAAGTTAATTATATATATTATACATATTTATTTTATTCAGGTTTCGTGATTCAGGAATGGTAAATGCATAATGCTTTACAAACATATTATGAAAACAATTGAAAAAAAACAGATTTAATTGTTAAAACAATTTTTTATGACAATATTATATGGTTGCTACGTAAATACAATTACAGTATTTTACTAGACTCTCAATCTTCAGTTTGAGATCGGAAGAGCA